ATTTTGGACACATTAATTTAGAATATTATAGTATATAAATTATATATTCTTTAGCCTAATAGAACTATAACAACTTCTTAAAATTTTACATAGCTTATTTCCTTGTTAAATAATCTCAGGAATCTCTTTGTTACTCATTTATTTGAAGCATAGGAGATTGAACCCAGGGCCTTCACACTGAGCTACATCCACAGTCCTTTGTTTTCTTTTTTATTTTGAGACAGGGTCTAAGTTCCTAAATCACCCAGGTTAGGTTCAAACTTGTGATCTTGCTGTCTCAGCCTCCCAGAGCTCTGGGATTACAGGCAAGTGTCACCAACCTGGCTATTTGTTTTTCAAATCATTTCCTTCTGCTAAAATAAAATCACAACATAATAAGAATTTTTAAATTGTAGAAATAGAGTTGAACATCTACAATTCCAATTTATGAAGAGAAAAATAAACTGTCTCAAAAACAAAACTTTTTTTTTTTTGGTTCTAGGAATCAAACTTAGGTCCTTGTGTTTGCAAGGCAGGCAGCAGAACCACTGATCCAAATCCCCAGCCCTAAAATTTTGTAATTTTAAAAACACTAATGAAGTTTCTTGGCTTTGAACAAGCTCTTTACTTAACTGACAGTTAAACCCAGGACCTTGTAGCATGTTAGGCAAGTCCTTTGTAATCCTCACTACATAGGAAGCTGAGACAGGAAGATCACATGTCCAACCCAAGCCTGTGCAATTTAGCAACATACTGAGACCTTGTCCCAAAATAATTAATTTAAAAGCAGCTGGGCATGGTGGTAGAGGCCTGTAATCCCAGCACTTGCAAGGCTAAGGCAGGAAGATTGAGACTTTGAGGCTAGCCTATACTATACAGTAAGATCCTATCTCATTTAAAGAAGAAACAAAGAAGGCTGGCAATTTAGCTCAGTGATTCTGCTGCCTGCCTCGCAAGCGCAAGGACCCGAGTTTAATCCCCAGTACCAAAAAAAAAAAAAAAAAAAAAAAAAAAAAAAAAAAGAAAAGAAAAGCCATTTATCTATCTACCTATTCATATGTATGGTATACATACATACATACATACATATATATATATATATATATGTATACACACATACCCCATACATATGATGTAGATATATGAGGATATAGCTCACATAAGAGTACTCTGGGTTCAATCTCCAGTACCACCAAAAGTAGAAAAAAATAAGTGAAACTGCAAAACTTCACCCCATTCAGCTAAAATGTAACTAAGCAAGGTGTTATTTTTAAAATTCAGCAGCCAAACTTGGAGTAGTGGTGCACGCCTGTAATCCCAGCAATCAGGAGGCGGAGGCAGGAGGATTGCTGTTGAGTTTGAGACCAGCCTGGGCTACATAGTGAGTTCCAGGTCAGTCTCAAGTACATAGTGAGACCCTGTCTCAAAAAAATTAATTAATTTTTAAAAATTAAAAAACAAAATAAAATTCAGCAGCCAAGCATGGGGGCAAATGTTTATAATCCCAGCACTCCAGAGGCTGAGGTAAGAGGATCACTACGAGTCTGAGGCCACGCTAGGCTACATAGTAAGTTCAAAGCCAGCCTGGACTACAAAGTGAGACCCTGTCTCAAAATAAATTAATTAAATTCATCAGACACTACTATTCTAATGTGGGGTGTTGAAAGTCCTTCCCCAAATAAAACATGCCACACTGAGACACTCTTGTCTAAGAGCTGTCCAAAACACCTCCACTTTGCAGATGGTGCTCACAGACAGCATATTCACAGGGTTCCTTCCCTGCCATACAATCTCACTTTCAGGCTTCCTGGGTCTGTGTACATGGCTTTACAAAGGGAGACATAAAATTCATTACATACACTACTCCACTTCCAGGCATACACCACAGAGAAATGAAAACACTTATCTACATAAAACATGCACGCAATGTTCAAAGCATTATATATAAGTCAAAAAGTGGAGCTGGGGGGCCAAGGATTTAGGTCAGTGGTTCTGCCACCTGCCTCACAAGCTCAAGGTCCCAAGTTCAATCCCCAAGACCCTCCCCCAAAAAAGTGAAGCTGGGTGTGGGGGTGCATTCCTAGAAACCCAGCACTCAGGAGACTGAGGCAGGACAATCAACCAGAGTTGGAGTCCTAACAGTGAGCTGAACACCAGCCTAAACTACACAGCAAGACCTATTTTTTTTTTAAAAAAACCCCAAAACAGCACTCCAGAGCCTGAGGCAGGAAGATTACCATGAGTTTGATTTCAGCCTGGGCTACATAGTGAGTTCAAGGCCACCCTGGATTACACAGAGACTGTCTCAAAAAAACCAAATATATATATAAAATTTTTTAACTTAGAAGCTGAAGTCAAACTTTGAATATAAAATAATTGTTTGCTAGAAACAATTGATAATGTATTAAGTAGTCTATAATGACACTGTTTGGTACATTTTTTTTTTAACATCCCATTTTTTTGTAAATATTCTCCAAAAAAAAGCTTGAAAAGGGCCGAGGATTTAGCTCAGTTGTTCCTCTGCGTGCCTCTCAGCCTCACAGCGCGAGGTCCCGAGTTCAATCCCTGGTACCAAAAAATAATAATGTCTAAAAAACTACAAAAGCAGAATAGAAACATACTGTGCTACTCTCTAAGTCTAGGGCTGAGAATGTAGCTCAGTGGTAGAGCACATGTCTAACATAAACCAGGTCCTAGGTTTGATCTCCAGACCTACCAACAAACAAAAACTTGTTCTAAAATATTTCATTAGAAAAATAGGACCCGGGATTTAGCTCAGTGTTGCCCCCACCTGGCTTGAAAGTGCAAGATTTGGAGTTTGATCTCCAGTACCACATTTTTTTTTTCTTTCTTTTCTTTCTTTCTGGTTGAGATAGGGTCTTGCTATGTAGTTCTGGCTGGCCTCCAACTCACAGCAATCCTCCCTTCTCAGCCTCCCCAGTGCTAGGATTACAGGCTTGTGCCACCATGCCCAGTTTACATATATTTTGTTTCTTGGTTGTTTTGTTTTGTTTTTTAGTACCAGGGAGAACTCAGGTCCTTGCACTTGTAAGGCAGGCCACCGAACCGCTGAGCTAAATCCCCAGCCCCTTGTTTTGTTTTTTGAGACAGGGTCTATGCAGTTGAGGCTGGCCTTGAACTCACTATGTATTCCAGGCTGGCCTGGAACTTGCAAGGATGCTCTCGCCTAAATTTCCCAAGTGTTGGGATTACAGGCTAGCACCACCACGCCTCACCACATAAAAAGTTTTTTGGGTTGGGTTTTTTGTTGTTGTTTTTGTTTGTTTGTTTTTGTGGTATCCGGGATCAAACTCAGGGCCTTGCCAGGGCAGGCGGCAATGCCACTGAGCTAAATCCCCAACCAAATGATACCTCAATGTTGTTTCTGCTTTGTTTTGTTTTTGTTTTTTGGTACCAGGGATCAAACTTGGGACCTTGCACTTAGGGGGCAGGCAGCAGCACCACTGAGCTAAATCCCTGGCCCAAGAGAATAATCATTTTAAAAATACTTTTTTTTTAGCTGGGGATTTATATCAGGTGCCACCTCCTGCCTCGCAAGTGCAAGGTCCCAAGTTTGATCCCTGGTACAAAAGATTATTCTTTTGGCAAGTCACCAATCTATATATATTTTATAAATGTTGATTACATGATGTGTTAAGTGAGCACTTCCTCTTTTACAAAACTGTTACACTCAAACTTATACACCCTGGAGCCAGGAGTGGTGACACAGGTTTGCAATCCCAGAACTTCGAGGCTTTGGCAGGAGGACCGTAGCGAGTTCGAGGCCAGCCTGGGCTACACAATGAGTTCAACTTACACATCCTTCAGCTGAATTCAACCCAACTACTGGAGCACACTCCTCCACATAAGCCTAAGAAACCACTTGAAAAAATAATTAGAATAGTACCTGATCGTTCAGAGTAAAAGGATGTTAAAAATCCTTAACCCTTTACTTCCAAATAAAAAATATTTCCTAATGGTTTGAATATTTTCAATTTACAGGTAGATATGTGCTGAGTTTATTACACAACTGTGTATATGAATAAGCACTTCGCTGCCTACACAATTTTCTAAAGTGTTTTAAAAAAAAGGGAGGGTAGAAAAAAAAAGTATCTGAAGGGTGTGGCAACTAATCCAAGGTCACACAAGTCTGGGCAGAGAGCTACATTCTGGTTACAACAAACCTCCAGGGGAATGCTTACTGACACATTTCGCAAAACGATTTCGTTTGGTTTTACCTCAGAAGGCAAAAAAGGGGAGAAGGGACTGTCAACTTAGGTCAAAACTTATAAACAGAAGCAATGTGAAAGCTATTTTGGATGAATACTTGCATGGAGCGATTAAGGCTGAACAAAGCTATCAGCCAGCAGCCATCAATTCAAAAAGCTAGATCGGATATGAAGGAAAGAAACTTGAGATCTCTTTAGAATGCTGGGAGGATAAAAGAAAAAATGACAGCGTGAACTGTATACTGCCTCTCCAAGGGTAAAAAGGCAGGTTTTTCTGAAAAACTGGGCCTCAGAGCAGCAGTGAATTAAGGCTAGAAAACTTAAGACTTCTAACAAACCGAAAGGAACGACGAGCTCTGGGAAAACTAATGTACAGTCAGTCGTTCTAAGTGCACGTCAGGCAAACACTTTCCTCAACCAAAGACAAGTTCACGTCCCCCGCCTAGCCCTAAAAATGGACCTAGGTTTTCCATGTGACGCTATTTGTGGGAGAAGAGCAGTGTAGAGAAAAGGCCGAGTTCCCCCGCCACAGGGAGCCTACACCCGGAGAAGCGTCCAGAGCCAGACCACGGCGGACAGGGCGGCTATACAGAGACGGACCCCGTGAGATTCATAAACCCTCGGGCGCGAGGGCGCTGGTGGACACCGACACACACACGTTCACCTACTCATTCGCGCGTCGTCGGCACCACTGGGGGAGTCGGTGGACCGGTAGTCCCTGGGCACCTTCTTCCCCAGGTGAAAATCGCCTCCTCACTCAGCTCAGTCAGCCCGGAGCCCCACTCCCCTCACCTGGCCCTGGCCCCTACCCCAGAAGAGATGAAAGAGGCGGCGGCGGCGGCAGTTGCTTCCGATAGGGTCCCCCAGCGGCGGTTGCTGCTTCGACCCGTGGCTCTAATCTACCGCCGCCGCCATGTTGGAGGGTGAGGTCACCCCCGACGTACTTCCGTCACCGCCGACGTCGGGGCGGGACCAGGGCGCCGGAAGGGGGCGGCTCTGTTACCCGGACCGGAAGCATGGGCCGCCAAGTTTTTGGAAGTCTCGCGTAGATGTGACCTGGAGAACTGACACCCTTCTCCTTCACCCCCCCCCTTGTCCTAGGAGTAGCTCAAATCTGTGCTTCTTAGGGATATGGAAGTTCCCTTTCTCTAAATTACGTATTTCCGGTCATGTGCAAGCGAAGAGAGGCGGGATTCTGACAGGCGGGTCCTTGTCTGGGGTGAGAGGCTATCGATTCAGCGGGAAGAAGCAATGCTGCATTCCGCAGAATATATTTAGTTTCGAAGCTATGTATTGCTTTTCAAGCGTATGCAGCGAGCGGGTTAAGTAGGTGTCAAGAAAGTTGCAAGAGCCAGGTGTGTTTGCGCACGCCTGTAATCGCAGCACTTGGGAGGCTGATCCAGGAGGATCGCCGCTAGTTTAAATTTTTTGTTTTTTGGTACCGGGGATTAAACTCCGGTCCTTGCGCTTGCGAAGCAGGCGGCAGAACCACTGAGCCAAATCCCCAGCCCTACCGCTAGTTTAAGGAGTACGTAGTGGCCAGCCTGGGCTACATAAGAGACCCTGTTTTAAGGGGGAAAAAAAAGAAGCAAAAAGCCACAACCGGGGATTTAGCTCAGTGGCGCCGCGCCTGCCTAGTGAATGCAAGGCCCCAAGGTTCTGAGTTCGAACCCCAGTCAGGAGAGCTTCGTCATTCCCAGTCGCTATTCAGGGAAGCTGGCCTGAACATGGTGAAACAGGAAAGGGGTGGTGCAGGGGCATCCATCGAGGCGGAGGGAACTGCCTGAAGACGAACGCCGTGGCCAAAAAAGTGATCTTACAATACTAAAAACAAAAGAAAAAATAGTAATTATTTTTGCACAGCCCCTAACATAGTGCCTGGAGTGTAATTTGTGTCAGTGGGTGTTTGTTTCCTTGAATCCAAGCATCCTTTAGAGGAATCACAGATCACACTCCGGTGATATATTTGAGATTAGTTGCAATAAAGACAAAACTGAAGACTAGAAATTAGAAGGCTGTAATCAACCAGGTCAGAAACGATAAAACCCTAGTAGAGGGTGACTACCAGTGGACGCCATGATTATTATGGACGATGAAAATGTTTTAATTCACAACGATCAACAGGGTGTGGTGGTGCATGCCTGTAATCCCACCCCTGGGGTGACTGAGGCAGGAGAGTCACCCACAGTTTGAGGCCACCCTGCACATCGTGAGTTCAAGGCCGGCCTGAACTACATAGCCAGAGTCTCACAAAATAACAAAAATTCACAGTGATGAATACGATGAAAACCATGTAATTGTAGTTTTAAGTGAATTGTGTAGTCTGTGAGATATATCTTAAAGCTATTTAAAGAGAAGTGTTAGAGCTGTGGGTATAGCTCAGTGGTAGAGTGCTTACCTAGTATGCCCAGGGTCAGGGTTCCATCCTAAACTTTGCTCCCCCACCCCTCACCAAAGTTAAACACGTGAACATTGTGGTGCTATTAACGGAATCCCTAGACACTGGCGCATGCGCGCGGGGGGGTGGGCACTAGGTGATAAGATTTGCCAGGGTGTAGGAACCAGCCTGCAAATGTATCCCCAGCTCCAAGGCAAACAAGGATGAAACACAAAAGACACAAAATGTGGAATGAGGGGCCAAGGGGCTCCAGCGTTTGGCTCGCCTCATTTTTATTCACTTAGAGGTGGGAATAAACAATTCGATTCATGGAAAGATTCATCTGCCTCTTGTTATCCATAACATGTACCCAGGTAAACATCGAGATCTCAGCTGTATTGCCTCCTCTCTGGAACTTGCAATGTGCTGGCGTGCCTGCCTGTTGCCAAAGGAGGCGCAGCATGCTGTCTTCCTCATTCCTATTTCTCTAAGAGGAGGTCAATTAGGCCTCGATTGTCATCTGGTCTCCTACACTGAAGAAAGTTGTAACACACTAATAATTAACAGTAATTCCCAGGCCAGGGATTTAGCTCAGTCGATCCCCGGTACCAAAATAATAATAATAATTCCCTAATAATACCTAATAACCAAACACACCTAATAACCAAGCACACACTAAGTTTCTCCAATTGCCCAATGGCGATGGGCAGGTGTAATCCAAGTGTTCAAATGGCAAGTGAAGAGTAACTACATTTGTTGATAATCATGGAAAGTGGGGCTCAGGGCAAGTCCACACCAGCCACAGATTCGGCACCAACAGGAAGTGGTGTCAGGGTAACAGGACAGCAAAAGCACAGCAGGCAGATCACAGCCAGCAGCAGCAGCAACAGTCCCCAGCAAATCAGGCTTTTGGGATTCAAAGGCTACGCAGCTGGGCCAGTGCCTCCAGGGTCTCTAGGTGTGACCTACAAGATGCTTTGTTATCTCAGGAGCTCCGACATGCATGCTTGCTTGTCCCAGAATTCACTCTGATCTTAATGTATGACATGTAATTCCTACTGTATTTATGAGCCCTTAATGAGGTTTGAGTAGGAAAAGGTGACCAAAGGTCAGGCTAGAGATCTAAAGGGCACATGCTTTTGTCTTTTTTATTTGTTTGTGTTTTACTACCAGGGATCCAACTGAGGAACTCGTGCTTGCCAGACAGGCGCTGTGCCACCGAGCTAAATCTCCAGCCCTCTTTTGTCTTTTTTTTTTTTTTTGGTACAGGGGATCAAACTTGGGTCCCTGCATTTGCACAGCAGGCAATGGAACCACTGAGCTAAATCCCCGGCCCTATCTTTCGTCTTTTTAAAAACCAGCATCTAATCTAAATTCTTGCACTGCAGCATTGGCTATTTTTCCCCCAGTACTAGTGATTGGACCCTGGGGTGCTTTAGCACTAAGGTGCATCCCTACCCTTTTTTATTTTTTCTGTTACTAGGGATTGAACCCAGGGCCTTCACACTGAGCTGCATGCCTAGCCATTTTTGTAATTTGTTTGTATGTTTTTATTTTTTTTGACATAGGATCTCACTATGTAGTTCAAACTGCCCTGGAACTCACTGTATAGCCCAGGCTGGTCTCAAACTCACAGCAATCCTTCTGCCTCAGCCTCCCAAGTGCTGGGATTACAGGTGTGCGCCACCATGTGCGGCAATTGAGGTAAAATTTAAACTTTATATACAGTGAACTGCACAGAAACTTAAAAGTACAAGTAGATGAGGTTGTACACCATGCCCGGCAATTGAGGTAAAATTTAAACTTTATATACAGTGAACTGCACAGAAACTTAAAAGTACAAGTAGATGAGGTTGTTTCCATCTGCTGCGGCTCACATGCTCAGGTTCATCTGCTCATTGCTGATTAAATGAAAGGAGCCCATATATTTGGGTAATAAGGAAAAGGATTTATTCAAAGCTAGCACTGAGGAGATGGAGGGGCCTATTTGCCCCAAATCACCATGTCCCAGATTACAGGTGAGCAAGGTCTTTCATAGCAAGGGACAGAGGGGACAAAGGGACAGTGATGTTTACACCTGTGTTATCATTTCCAGCCTTTTTTCTTCCCCGGTATCAGGAATGAAACTCAGGACCTTGTGCTTGCCAGGCAGGCATGGCATCATTTGTCCTCCTACCTAAGCTTCCCAGAATGCAGTGATTATAGACACGCACCCCTACACCTGGGTGAGTTTTTTATTTTGGTGGGGGGGTACAGGGATAGAACTTGGGTCCTTGCACTTGCAAGGCAGGCGGCAGAACCACTGAGCTAAATTCCCGGCCTGGGCTACATAGTGAGTTCCAGGTCAATCTCAACTACATAATGAGACCCTGTCTCAAAAAGACAATAAATAAATATATATATTTTTTGGGGGGGTGGCTACCGAGGATTGAACTCAGGTCCTTGCGCTTGCAAGGCAGGCCACTGAACCGCTCAGCTAAATCCCCGGCCCTAAATAATAAATTTTACCTCAATAAAAAACTTTTTTAAAAATGTAAGGGAAAATTTTTTTTTTTTTTTTTTTTTTTGGTACCGGGGATCAAACTTAGGTCCTTGTGCTTGCAAAGCAGGCAGCGGAACCCCTAAGCTAAATCCCCAGCCCTAAGGAAACTCTTTTTAAAAAAAAATATGAAAAATAAAAATAAAAAATAAGGATGGAGGGGGGCACATAGCTCTGTAAGGTCCATGGGCTAAATCCCCAGCACAAAAAAACAACAAAAAAACAATCATTCACTTTCCTGCATTGTTATGTTACCAATTTGACCTGTGGTTGGCTTCATTTTTTTCAGATTGCTTTCAGTTAAGAGTTTGCATCCCCCCACTTTTTTTTTTTAATGTTTACCATAAGAATAGACATACAAGGCAATGGAACAGAAGAGAAGTCAGAATGGTCAACTGATTTCCATCAGAGATGCTAAGCAACTCAGGAGGGAAAAGGGGTCTTTTTAACAAGTGGTATAAAATAATATAGTCCTTATACAGACATTATTTAACCATAGAGTTTCTAGTTTGGGGGAATTTTTTTTGGAGATTTTTGTGAGAAATATAGAGTTCTATCCTATAACCTAATAAGATTATGAATCTAAACTGACTAAAAAAAAAAAATCTAAAGTGACTGTCATCTTAGTTGTTTTACTCACTCTCTGTGTGCCAGGCAGTGCACTGAACACTGGGATAAACAATGATGAGTAAATTAGACATGGTCCTGCTATGAAACTGGCATCTTTTTTTGTGGGGGGGGGGTGAAACAGGATCTCATTATGTAGCTGATACTGAGCTGGAACTCACTATGCAGCCCAGGCTGGTCTTGAACTCACAGCGATCTTCCTGCCTCAGCCTCCTGAGTGCTGGGATTACAGGCATGCGCCACCATGCCTGGCTTTGAAGCTGGCATCTTAATTGAAAAATCAGGAACAAAAATGAAAACAGGAAAAAAAATTTTTTTAATTGTGGTATACACTAAAACAAACAAGGGGTTGGAAAGGACCAGAAGATGAAAGGGTGGTGAGTCATTCCTAAGAGTGGGATATTTAGATGGGGACCAAAAGAGTGAAATACCAGGGGCAGGG